CAATGCACGAACCACACTCTCGTTGTTACTTTGTTTGACCGCACATAACAGAGCAGTTTTACCAAAACTATAAGTTTTGTTGACATCAGCACCAGCATCAATCAATGCAAGAACAACACTCTCGTTGTTACTTTCTTGGACAGCATGAGACAAAGCAGTTTGTCCTTCATTATCAGTTTTGTTGACATCAGCACCAGCATCAATCAATGCACGAACCACACTCTCATTGTTACTTTCTTGGACAGCATGAAACAAAGCAGTTTGGCCTTCATTATCAGATATGCTCGCATCAGCACCAGCATCAATCAATGCACGAACCACACTCTCGTTGTTACTTTCTTGGACAGCATACATCAAAGCAGTTCGACCAAAATAATAAGTTTTTTTGACATCAGCACCAGCATCAATCAATGCACGAACCACACTCTCGTTGTTACTTTGTTTGACACTCTCGTTGTTACTTTGTTTGACAGCATAAAACAAAGCAGTTGCACCATCATCATCAGATATGTTCACATCAGCACCAGCATCAATCAATGCACGAACCACACTCTCGTTGTTACCTTGTAGGATAGCATAAAGCAAAGCAGTTTGGCCTTCATTATCACTTATGTTGACATCAGCACCAGCATCAATCAAAGCACGAACCACACTCTTATCGTTACTTCGTTGGACAGCATAAAACAGAGCAGTTTGGCCTTCATTATCAGTTATGTTGACATCAGCACCAGCATCAATCAATGCTCTAATCTCGTTCTTGTCTCTGTTAATGACGGCAAGATGCAACAGATCAGGAAGTTCAGTCCAGTTATCAGTAGTCATCCTCTAATATCTGAAGGCTTCATGACCAGCTCTAATATACTGTTAAAGAATATTTTTTATTTCAGTTAATATTTTTAAAAAAACACAATAGAACAATAGACTAAATATCGTTTGTTTGTTTCTTAACTTACTTTATGTAAATATTTTTCAGTCAGTTTCTTGATAATGATGACAGGATGTTATCGAAACGTCGAAATCTATTTGCGTTTTTCTGATGAATAGAATAATCGGCCTGTACATAATGCACACAATATATCGATAACGAAGAATTTATACCATAAGAACAAGTATTTATTAATCAATGTCAAATAACGAGGACATCTCCCCTAAGGAATTCTAGGATATATAGTGAGTTATGCAAATGTTAAGATCTTTTGTAGCCTGACGATTGTTCAAAACATGAAACTTAAAGATGCTACGCCGTTGTCCAGCCGACTTAATTTTTTTTTTGAAATCCCCCAAAAAAATTCTGGAGACATGAAGATCCCTGTGGACTTGTCTGCTGTTCAAAACTTAGCTCTGAAGAATACATGTGAATTTGAGGTCCTCAACCAAGCAAAGCACAAAAAAAAAAACACCTCTCACCCATGAAGAATTCCAGCGGCTTAAACACCCCCTCCACCCCTGAAGAATTCCATCACACAAACACCCCCCTCCACCCCTGAAGAATTCCATCACACAAACACCCCCCTCCATCCCTGAAAAATTCCATCACACAAACACCCCCCTCCATCCCTGAAAAATTCCATCACACAAACACCCCCTGTAATAATATATACTTGTCACGCAACATTAGGCTCTATTATGTAACAAATGTAATATGACTCTCTCTCCCCTCTCTCTACACACATTGTATCAAGTTA